CAGAAAGAACCACGACATTCAGGTAATTTTTTCTTTTTTTCTTTTTATCCATTATGCAATTCATTTTGTAGTCTAGGCTTGCCTTAGACTCAGGGATCCTTTTTGCTTCAGCCTCATGAGTGAAGGGATTACAGGTATACCACTACTCCTAGCTCGCTTAACTTTTTAAATGGGATATTAACTTCCATTACTATTATTATTAATCCATTTATCTAATTCATTATATCTAACTTCCATTACTAGCTATTATTAATCCATTATATCTATTAATTAAACTTTAGCATAGGTATAATCATGAGGGAAAACTATGCATTTCTATTGTGTGCACACAAAAGAGGAGAGATTTGGTACTATCTCCAGATCTCCAGTTTTGGCCTTCACTGGAGGTATAAGAATGTATCCCCCATGGACAAGGAGGTGGTGCTACAATATGTGCTGCTGTACTGTCCAAGGAGAAGAAACTTACTACAGTCCATACTGTGATACATCAACATGATTCAAACAATAGAGCTTTGTGCTGGTGATTCCTCAGCATTCAAAATACATCATCACTGTTTTCAGGACCTTATGAACCAGGCTTCCTTCCTGTGTGAGCTTTACCAATTTTTGACAGGCGTTATTTTTTAGCAAATTTAGGCATTAGTGTTTATAAATTAAGACTACATAGCAGTTTTTCTAGCTTGGCTAATATGAGTTTTCCTTGTAACAAGAACAGATTCCTTCTTATTGCACTATCAAAGCCAAATTTCTGAGCCTATAAGGCTAAGTAAGGACTGATCTCAAAACTCCACTTTATCAACAAGACAGTATAAACTTTGACACCTTTGGAGAAACAGTATTCCACCCACAGAGTACAACCTTCAAATGTACATGTTCTTCAGCAAGAAATCTACTCTAATAAGATCAAGGGAAAGGAAGTGGAATAAAGGGAAGGGAAAAGGAGAACAGCATGAGTGAGCAGAGCTAAATTGCTAAGTAACTCAATATTCTATTTCAACACCTGATTCTTTTACTCTTTTTTCCCTTTTTTATGTCAGGGTCTCACTGTATAGTTTAAGCTCACTATGTAATATAGGCTGGCCTTAAGCTCATGGAGATCCTCCTGCCTCAACCTCCCAAGGGCTGGGACTACCAGGATGCACCACCTCACCTGGATTCTTTGATTCTTCCAAATCAGTGGAGGTTAAAGCCATTATAGACAACATATATGGGTCAGGGCTGGTGGCACATACCTGCAGTTCCAGTACTCAGGAAGCTGAAGCAAGAGGATTGCCAAGACTCTGTCTCAAAAAAGAAAATCATATATGCATTTTCATTCCACCTTCATTAAAACCTAGGACTGGAATTACGAGGATGTATGGTGAAGGTGCATTTTCCCCTCAGACATAAATGTTAGAGTTCCCAGTTATTCTAGCATCCTCACTAGCAACTGATTTTTTTTTTTATTATTATTATTTTTTGCGGAACAGGGGATTGAACTCAGGCCCTTGCACTTATTCTACTGAGCTATCTCCCCGACCCAGCAACTGATATTTTTTAAAGTCCATTTTAACAGAAGAACTTAATTTTTGCATTTTCCTAATGACTATTGGTGGTTTGCTGATAACTAATGATGAATACATTTTTGTAGGCTTACCTACCACCATATATCTGCCTTCCTGAAACTCAAGGTTCAATCTTCTGTTATTCTGTTAAGTTTTTATTTTGCCAATTGGTGGTCAACGTGTTTGTTTGTTTTTTGTGGTATCGGGAATTGAACTCAGAACCTTGTGCTTGCCAGGCAGGCGCTTATTCTACTGAGCTATCTCCCTGGCCCCTAAGTTTTTATTTGAAAGCAAGTTACTCTTTACTGTGTCCAACAATGGTTACATCTCACTCACCTAAGTATGCAACCAGACTAAAGCAGAAAACCTATATATATACACACACTGTATATACAATGCTCTGCCATTTCTTAACATGGTAAAATGTACACTATATAATATTTATCATTTTAACTTTAAATGTACAATTCAGTAACACTTAGTACATTCACAATGTTGGAATCCATAATCACTATCAATTTCCAAAATCTTTTCCCTTTTTTGCTCATTGTTAACTCTTATTTTTTGGAGGAGGGGTGTTCTTTATTGCTAAGTTGGGTTATGTGTGTCTAAGTTCTTTACAAGCGTGTGCTTTGTAAGTATCTTCTCACTGACCACAGCTCGCCCCTTCATTTCTTTATTCTCACTCTCCCCACTGCTCACTCTCTTGCTCTCACTCTCTCTTTTCAAATAAGGAGTTTTTATTGGAAATAAGGAGAACAACTCCTAGACTTTCAGGAGGAATCCTGAAAGAAGTAACTATATGGCCCCCTGTCCATAATTAATTATAGATAAACAGAGCATCGATAAACAGAGCTACATAGTGAGTTTAAGGACAGCTTAAACTATACAGTGAGACCCTGACTTAAAAAAGGGAAAAAAGAGTAAAGGAAACAGGTGTTGAGATAGAATGTTGAGTTACTCAGCAATTTAGCTATGCCCATTCATGCTTTTCTCCTGTTATAAACAGATAAATATAGACACATAATTATAAAGAGGAATCACTTGTTGAGCAGCAACCTAATCAAAGGTGGCTCTATTTTATTCTCTTTAGAAGAACAGAATTTTAAATGTTTAGTAAAATCCACTGTATCAAAATTTTCATTATGAGGGCCGGCCAAAAAGCTCAGCAGATTAAACCACCTGAGGTCTGGGGTTCAATCTCTGGGCCTGCTGTGCGGGCCCGGCCCCAGGGCATGCTGAGATGGTGAATGAGACTGGGCATGCTGACACGCGCCTATAATCCCAGCACTTGGGAGGCTATAAACAGGAGAATCACTATGAGTCCAATCTAGTATTGAGACCCTGAACACCATGTAGACCCTTCCCTAAAATATAGGGGCAAAAAATTTTTTTTTCATTATGACTCAAGATTATTGACACCTAAATAAAAGGGGAGGGAGGAAGAGAGGAGTGGGAAGAAAAGGGGAGATTGATTTTCCACTGTATTTCCACTGTGACTTATAGATGTAGTTTTCATATTCAGGTCTATTATCTACTTAAGAGTTACTCTTTTGTATGCAATACAGTACTAAATTGCCTCAAATTTTCTGCTAAAATCAATTAGCCATACACGGGTATGTTTGCTTCTGGGCTCACTTGATGATCTGTATGTCTATAATTTAGCAATTTCACAATGTTTTAACTTTTAGAGTAGGTTCTTAATACCAACAAATGAGTCTAAACTTTGTTATTCTTTCTAAAGTTATTTAAAAAGCCAGATGTGGTAGTCCATGCCTGTAATCTTAGTAATATTCAGGAGGCAGAGGCAAGACAACTTCATGTCTGATGCCAACCTGGGCTACATAGTTCAAAGCCAGCCCAGACTGCATGATGAGACCCTATCTCAAAAAACCAAAAAATAATATTCATAATCACAACATCTTGGCTATTACAGTACCTTCATTTTTCACAAAAGTTTTAGAATCAAGGCAAAATTATGCTAAGATTTTGATTGGAATAATGCTGAAGGCATAGATCAATTTGAAAAGAAAATTTGAACACCACCAAGTGCTTCAATTGAATAACAATGAATATATTCACTTTTTCTTGGGTCTTCTTTGATTTTTCTAGCCATGCTATTAATTTTCATATATAAATCACAGACATATATCATCAGAGTTTTCTTTTGCAAGACTGGAGTTAAACCCAGAGACTCACACATGCAAAGCACTCATTCTACCCCTGAGCTACAGTGTAAGACCAAGATATGTTTACGTACTACCATAAAAGATGTTAGCTTTTTTTCAATTCTTTATTTGAATTGGCAGTTATTTACTGCTAACATAAAAACACCATTTTTTTTTTTTTTTCCAGAACCGGGGATTGAACTCAGGTCCTTACTGAGCCACCTCCCTGCCCCATAACACCATTTAATTTGAAAGGTGGCCACAGTTCTTTCTTTTGCAATAATAGGAAGTGAATGCTGGCCCTGCCCCTAGGTCGCTGACTCTGCGAATGGCGGCACACACCTGTGATCCCAGCGCTTGAGAGGCTGAACACCCTGTAGAGTTCTAGATTGGACTAGTGATTCTCCTATTTACAGCCTCCCAAGTGCTGGGATTACAGGTGCACGCCAGGATGCCCGGTCTCAATCACAGTCTCAGTGTACCCCAGGCTCGGGGTCAGGGCCAGCATGGCCCCTGAGTCTGCTTGCAGGCACTTTAATGGGGTGAGCTAGTTGGCCAGCACTCCCCCTTTTTAGTAGAAAGTCTCACTAAGTCACCAAGTTGCCTAGGTGGGATCTACTCTTGCAATCCTTGCCACCTTCCCAAAGGTTACAGGTGTGCAACCCTGTGCCTAGCTGTTAGTTACACTTCTATATACACTTAATTCATATACCTGTACTCCAAAGACAGAGTAAATACCATTATATATAGCTTAATGTCAAATTTTTAAAAAACATCAGTAGAGAAACTTTTCACATGACGTACTACTAGGGATTATTAAATTCAAAGACAGGATCAATTTAGACTAAAGTTTACAGGGACTAGGAATATAGCTCAGTGGTAGAACTCTTGCAGAGTATGCATAAGGCCCTGGTTTCAATCCCCAGCACTAAGGTTTACAACAACGAAACTAAATGTGCCTGTAATCCCAGCTAATTAACATTCTGAAGGAAGAGATTCCAAATTTCAAGGCTGGCTTGGGCAACTTAGAGATCCTTTTTCAAAAATAAAAATGAAGAACCAATGGCATTGCACACACCTGTACTCCCAGCACTTTGGAGGCTGAGGCAGGAGGATCACAAGTACAAGTCCCAACTGGGCAACATGGCCAGACCCTGTCTCAAAATAAAAAACAAAAATAATAATTGGAGATGAATCTCAGTGGTAGAGTGCTTTATTAGCAGGAAGACTCCTGCCATGCCCCCCCAATAAAACTAAAATCCCTTCACTAACACAGTCCTACTTTTTTTCTAGGCAGAAGTCTATTGATCTTACATATACTCAGTTTCATTCTGGTTTACCTGGTGTTTTATGAAGTTATCATTTTTTGTTTCCATTTTCAGTTGATGATTTATAGAAATATATCTGGCCAGGCATGGAGGTGCACAACTGTAATTCCAACACTCAGGAGGCTGAGGCAGGAGGATAACCACAAGTTCAAGGCCAGCCTGCACTACATAGCGAGACCCTACTTTAACAACTACTACAAAAAAAGTTATTATGGCATTTTCTGCTTGTAACCCATAGTCTTCTAATATCTATACAATTCCATATCAAAGATATCTCATTCTTAAACAGCTTTTTTTTTTTAATATTGTTCTTTGTTCTGTACTAGGGATTAAACCCAGGGCTTCACATTGAGTTACATCCCCAGCCCTTTTTATTTTGAGCCAAGGTCTCACCCTAAATCACTAAATTGCCAATGCTGGGCTCAAATTTGTCTTCTGCCTCATCTTTACAGAATTCTGGGATTATACCCATGCATTACCACAATGAGCTTCCTGAAACCAATTATTTAACTTCTTCACTTTCCAGTTACAAGTCTCACAAGTAGGGGCCGGCCAAATAGCTCAGCGGATTAAAGCGCCTGCAAGCAGGCACAGGGGCAAGGGGTTCAATCCCCCAGCCTGCTGTGCCAGCCCTGCCCCCGGGGAATGCAGAGAGGGCAAGCAATTGAGACTGGGAATGGTGGCGCACGCTGTAATCCCAGCTTTTGGGAGGCTGTAAACAGGTAGATCACTATAAGTCTGATCTAGTAGTGAGGTCCTGAACACCCTTGTAGACCTTTCCCTAAAATACCAAAAAAAAAAAAAAGTCTCACAAGAAATATCAATTTTACTAGTATTTTCAAATAAATACATAAGTCTTCTTAATTCTCTGAACAGTGTTACCTATTTCTAGCTTATTAATTGCACTTCTGGGATAGTGGCTGTGGTTTTTTCGGCCAGAGTTTATGTTATGGGTGCTTGCTTTTTGATAATTTATTGAGCTATAGTTTTGCATTTTCGATATTTTATTTTTGTCTTGTTTTCTGAGACAAGAGTCTTGATAGGTAGTTTATGTTGGCTTTGAACTCTGTCTTCTATCCTCAGCCCTCAAGTGCTGGAATTACAGGTGTCCATTACCATGATTGGCTTAAACTTCTTTTATTAAGAGCTAAATTTTACTTTTATAAATAAAACCTCATTATTTAATGTATATAATCATGAATCAATCCTCTGAAGAGCACAATGTAAAAAATATTAACAAAATTTACCCATGAATTTCCAAAAGTAATCTACTAACAGGATATAGAAAACTCTGCAAAAGCATTAAGGCCCTAATACTATCTAACATGTAACACTTTATCTGGCCAAATTTTGGTATCCACCAGTAAGAATGGTAAGTACTCTCAATAAAGCATAGTTCTGTTACCATACCTGTGACACACTGCAATAGCAGTATAGCTTTGTACCAACTTGTGTAAATTATACAGTCCTCACAGTATAACTGGAGAAGTCTAATAATTTTATTATCAATGAGAATTTTTCCAGGAGGGGAGGTTCACTACAGGTTCCAGGCTGCACTAGAATTTAGTGATCCTTGGCCTCCTGAGTAGTGAAATCATAGCTATGTACACCATACTCAGCTATCAAGGACATGGTTAAGTGGGACTTTAAAGGTAAACAACTAAAGTAATATGAGGGTAGTGTCCACAGCAGATATTTGCATGGTAATATAAGAGTCCTTAGCATCTCCAACATAGCTCTATGGCAGATCATTTTATCTAGCATGCCCAAGACACTGAGTTTGATCCTCAGCACTGCAAGAGAAAAACAGCCCTTTCTGACAAGAAGACAGTACTTACCCAATCCTTCATTTGCACCATTCTGAGCAGTTTCCCAAACTACTACTTTCGTCCCACACCCATCTGTAGATGTAGAATCTGAATAGTCTGCTGGATTAAATGTCCTGGAGTTTGAAAAAAGAAAAAAGCAAATGAGGCCAGCCACAAGTAACTGAATATGATCTTCCCCACCAAACAATCTTAGTTCCTCTAATAACCACTGTAAAAGACTTATCCCTTCCTTCCATTATTTCATTATAAGTAATTCTTTCAGCCACTGGGATGCAGAGCTTCTAAAATGCTGAGGTTGCCTAGAAATCATCTATATAATCTGGCACGATGGTCTTATTTTCTTTACAGTGTGGTCCTCTGCATCCTAACGGTGTTCTGTAGTTCTCAAGTCTTTTCAAACCAAAACAGGGCACTAATGGAAAGTTCTAAGCTTGACTTTAAAATTCATATAACAGAATTATATCCTCTTTTATATACAGAAAAAGTGGATAGAGATGTTATTTTATTTACCCGTTAGGGCATAAATGTGAAACGGCTCCTTAAGAGACTTGTGTTGAAAGGTATAGGGTTTTTGAAAAGTGATGAGATTTATGGGATTGCTGTTATCTTCTTTGGATTAATTCATGATGAGTTCATAACTAAATGTGCTGTTATGAGGGGGCCTAATACAGAGGAGTCACAGGGACATGACCTGGAATGATATATTCTTAACGCTGGCTCCTCTCTTTGATCTCAAGTTTCTATGGATCAAATAGCTTTCTCTGCCATACCCTTCTAACATACCCCTCCACCAAGGCATTTCTGCCTTTAAGTCAGTTGACTGTCAACTAAACCCACTGAAATGACGAGCCAACAAAACCCTTTTGAGGGTGCTGGATGTTTTGTCACACAATGGGAATGACTAAAATAGTCCTCTTTTCCTTTTTGTCTGTAAGGTAGAATCTCACTTTTTTAGTTCAGGCCGGCCTTGAACTCACAGCAATCCTCCTGCTTCAGCATGTCACCATGCCCAGCTATTCCTTGTTATTTTCATTAAAACCTTAAACTGAACAACTGAACATCTATAAGGAATCATGATTCAGAAGTTTCACATGGGGTATAGTAGATACAGCCTAAGTTCTTCACAAAACATGTAGTTAAACTGAATAATCCATAAACTAGGTCAGCAGTATTAAGCTCAGATATCTGAGTGATCTTCCCAGATTCTTCCCTATATTTATGTTTGCTTGCATTCTTTTTCTTTCTTCCTTTCTTCCCTTCTTTCTTGAGACTGTCTCACCATGCTAACAGCCAGCTGTGTCAGAAACTGTTCACACTCCAGATTGCAACATAAAGTCTAAAAAGGCACTGATTAGTTCTTAAGATTTTTACATTGATGAAATCCCTTGATTTCTTTTAATTGAGACAGGGTTTCACTCTAACTTAGTCTTGAACTCATTTATATAGCCCAGGCTGACTTCTAACTCACACCAATCCTCTTGTCTCAGCTTCTGGAACTCTGGGATTATAGGTATATGCCATGAAGCCCAGTTCTCCCAGTATTTTCATTCCTCCTGTTCCTGAGCTCAGGTAAAAAAGAGAAATGGCAGGTGACACTATCACTTCTAGAAGGCACTGCTTCCAAGAGTGCTTCTCTGAAAGTTACACAGAAAAAGGGCTCTTTGTGGCATTAATTTCCTTCCTTCAACATAGGGCTTCTGCAAGATTTCTGTTATTGTTTTGATGTAGAAGACAAACTCAGTGGTGCTCTACCACTGAGCTACATCCTCAACCATTTTTAATTTTTATTTTGAAATAAGGTATTGTTAAATTGCCCGGACTACTCTCAGAATTGCCATCCTCTTGCCCCTAACCCCTGGACTGTATGTGTGTACCAATACATCTGGCCATAAGATTTTTAAAGAACAATTTTTTGCTGAGAACCCAGTAAGAGCTAGTTTTAAAAGTAACAAGATAGAACACAAAACAACAGAAATACCTGTGTTAAATACATTAAAAAAAACCAGAAACAATAACTGTTAATTATAGCACATATTTAGCACACTTATTCTTTACTGTTCTAATTCAGGATAAAAGTATCACTCTTACATGAATACGCATTGCACAGACTTAACATTCAAAGACAAATGTTGGATTTACCAGCTCTTATGCAGTGGCTTTCAACTAGGTGTAAAAAATTATGCACACAAGCATGTGCGTGCACACACACATACACACTCCACACCCCAGGAACATGTAGCAATGTCTGTAGACATTTTGATTGTCACATCAGGAGTACAACTGGCATCTAGTAAGGAGAGGAGAGGGTTGTTGCTAAACATCCTACAATATACAGAATAACCACCATCACAATATATTTACCCAACCCAAAATAGTGCCAAGGCTAAAAACCACACTCTAATCCCTACTGAAAAATAACAATTAATTCTATTTGTACTATTTTCACTTATTACTAACACTCTTCAAGTATTTAAAAAAAATCATTCATAAAGATAAACTGGGGAGGAAACAGAGGAAGGGAAAGTATAATGAAATAAGGGAGGTATAGGAAAGGAAATAACTGAAAATAGGATGGCTGTGACTTACCCCATGCTTTGAGCTGAGAACCATCCTGTTCCTCTTCCTCTGCCTCGTCCAAATCCTTTTAAAAAACAAAAACACTATAGTCTACAATACTACATATGTTCTACACAATTATACCCTATCATTTAACCATTCACACAAACTGTATCATGATTCTTTCTTGCAGGAGCACTCCTAATCAGGAATAGAATTTGCTGTTTCCTCGACAATACAACTACCTACACTAATACTTACTTTGAGAGGAGGGGAAGAAAAGGAGGAAAGAGGAGTGGAGACAGGTGGAGGAGGGTGGGAGAGGTTGAGAAGAAATCAGTGTTTGTAGCTCCTCAAAAATTTTTAAATAGAGTTTCTGAGAGCAAGAATACAGAAGTTGCTTACGGCCTTTAAAAAAAAAGTCCCAAAGGGCCAGTCGAATAGCTCAGTGGATTAAAGCTCCTGTTTAGGCAGATGCAGGGGCCAGGGGTATGATCCCAGGCCTACTGTGCCAGCCCCACCCCTGGGCCACACTGAGACAGTGATTGAGACTGGGAGGGGTGACGTGCGCCTGTAATCCCACTGCTTGAGAGGCTGAAAAACAGGAAGATCACTGCATGTCCAATCTGTGTAGTGAGACCCTATAGGCCCTGTACTAAACACATAAAAAATACATAAAACACATTAAAACAAAAAAAAAAAAAACCCTCAGTGGATAAACACCCACCCAAAGTGAGGCAGATTCTAGCTGTTGACTTTTCTCTGCTTATGAAACTGTACAATCCAAAAAGTGAATCTAATCTAAGGTAGAAAACAGCCCCTTTCCCTCATCCTGAAGAAGAAAAGGTTTGCTAACAGCCAGCTGTGCCAGGAACTATATATATACATCCCAATTATAACATAAAGATTAAAAGGCACTGAGCAGTTCTTAAGTTTTTTACACTGATGAAATCCCTTGATACCTTTTTTTTAGTTGAGACAGGGTTTAACTCTAATTCAGGCTAGCCTTGAGCTCCTGCCTCAGTTTCACAAGTGCTGGTATTACACACATAGGCCATCACACCCAGTGTTGAAATTCCTTGAATTCTGAGGGCTACTTCAATGATATTGCTATCCCATGTCCAGAGATCTGCCCAGATCATACATAATAGCAGAAAGTCTACGGGGCTGGTGTGATTCAGTATGTCATACAAGCAAGCTATGCCTCTATGTCCCTGAGCCAGGATATATATATTCCTACAGGAAAAGGAAGGTTCCCTACCACAAAGTGAAAGTAGCAATAATGAAACTAATAACAAAATATCCCAGGAATTCAGTAGTAAGGAAAATTTATGTGTTATATACTTGTACCAACTCAAGATGAAT